ATTTGGAATTATTTTACTTCAAACAAGGGAACGGAATGGATTAACGCATAATGAAATAAAAAAATAAAAATTAGAAATAATTAATCCATTCCGTTTCCTTGTTTGAAGTAAAATAATTCCAAATTGCTCCTGATATTTAATATTTTATTCCTATTCCTAATATTTTCTCTATTGTGCGCAGGGCCTTATAATTCGCGTAATAATTTAATAACCAACAACAGGTTAACGTGGGAATAAGATAGGAGAAATTATTTATAGGATAATGGAACCTCTTTCTGAGGCATGTAGGAAAATGGAAGGAAAGAAGTTTATATGATAAAATGTGGAGAAAACCTCTTTTCGAGGCATGTGGGAGGATGGGACCCGGGCGGAATCGAACCTGGAATCTCTCGATTACCAGGCCGCGACTCTACGCCCAGGCCACGCATCGCCCAAACATGGATGTAAATTGGTACATAGGCCGGTATTCATAGTCAGTTCTTATTTCAAGACTGTCTTAAGTAATGTCTTAAGATGCTAATACGGCTCTGTGATTGGTTTAGGACATCTTAAAATTGTGCTTAAGACGGTCTTAAATATAAGAACTGACTATGAATACCGGCCTATGTACCAATTTACATCCATGTTTGGGCGATGCGTGGCCTGGGCGTAGAGTCGCGGCCTGGTAATCGAGAGATTCCAGGTTCGATTCCGCCCGGGTCCCATCCTCCCACATGCCTCGAAAAGAGGTTTTCTCCACATTTTATCATATAAACTTCTTTCCTTCCATTTTCCTACATGCCTCAGAAAGAGGTTCCATTATCCTATAAATAATTTCTCCTATCTTATTCCCACGTTAACCTGTTGTTGGTTATTAAATTATTACGCGAATTATAAGGCCCTGCGCACAATAGAGAAAATATTAGGAATAGGAATAAAATATTAAATATCAGGAGCAATTTGGAATTATTTTACTTCAAACAAGGAAACGGAATGGATTAATTATTTCTAATTTTTATTTTTTTATTTCATTATGCGTTAATCCATTCCGTTCCCTTGTTTGAAGTAAAATAATTCCAAATTGCTCCTCCTGATATTTAATATTTTATTCCTATTCCTAATATTTTCTCTATTGTGCGCAGGACCTAATCCTAAAGAAATAGAGAAATAGAGAGATATAATTTTTTACAGAAGCATCTTTAAATTAACCAAAAGGAAATTGTAGTTGAAAAGAAAGATAGTTATTTGTGATGCTATATCGATAATTATAATTTAAAATCGCCTCTATATGTAAATTGCATTGTTGTCAAAATTGTATACAAATTAATCTCGACATTAAAAATCTTATTGTTAGTATCAAAAGAGCGTTCTAACAGAGCTATCATCCCTCGGTACAAGCTACGCGTAATCTTTTCCCTTACAAAAAAAAGGAGAAGGGATTGTGTCGGAGGGTGCGGAAAAAGATCTTCCGTGAACTAATTCGCGAGAGATTCTCTCGCGGGTCATTCGAAACGTGATATGGGCGAAATTCCAGCGCGGCTGTTACAACGAGAGACGCAGACACCATATTTGAAATTCAGATGCTCGGATTGTTTCGCTAAATCAAGAGAAATGTGGCCCCGGTGAGTTTCAACGGCGAAATATCGCGCGCCAACCCCGTCAACGCACCGTGTAAGCCACCTTCATTCCATCGTCTTTCTCAGGCGGGCGGGGATGGGGGCGGCTCGCGTGTGTGTTTACGGCTAAATCACTTTTGTTCTCGTCGGGTGTCGCTCCTCCAGCAACACATATTTTCAACTCTCTCCACCTACCTTGATAGCATCCCTAAAGATACGGTCGATTTGGAGAAAAAGAAACAAGAGAGATGCAGAAACATTTCGTAATAAAAGTAAAACCAGATTGTTCGTATCAAATATAAAATATATTATTACTTTATGCTCTTATTTTAAAACAAACATCCTTGCAATCTTATGCTAAGAGAATTTTCTCTGTTTTTTATTTATATGAGATAGAGTTTCTTTCGAATTTAATTTGTGTAATTTCGGAAAATATATAACATATCAAGATTGATAAATTTAAATCCATGAACAATGTTTGTACTTTCGTATAAGTTTAAATCTGATCTTCACGACGACGTCACTCACATATGTTGCCGTGCATATATACGAAAGAAAAACGTGCAGCATCCTGGAAGTAGCAAAGTTTTTCTATTACCAGATAACAATAGGCCTAGACGGCAGGGGAAGATTTGTGATTGTGATACGGAGGGAAAAAGAGGAAAGGAAGGAAAAAGGACGTTTCCGAGAGTGAAGAATCGCCGATTTTAATGGTCCTTTGTTAGAGCCGCGGCTGTTCGCGGCGAGGAAAAGAAAATCAATACCGTGCTTCGTCTTGAAAAGAGAGACCCATTTAATCCCTCGTTAAGTTCATCTAGACGCGTATTATTCTTGTCGTCGAATTTGATTCATCAACAAGAGTCATCGGAAATGTGTTTAGTTTTGTTGTGATACGGCAATTTTTTAGAACACCTTAATGAATGTATAAGGGTTGGTTATATTTCGCGTCTAAAAAATGCATCTAATACGAACGCGATTAGGACGAGATTACAAGTGTAAATCGTGCGCATTCCACGAACATATATGCTTACAATTTCCCTTCCTTATTCTCCCTGCTTCTCACTCGGTAGGAATTCTCATAGCTCTTTGAAAATGAACGGGATGCATTAATACGCAGACGCGTATCCCTCCACCGTAGCAATAACTCAGGGCCCTTTTTAGGCGATCGAGGATGATTTAACGTGTATTGTTGCACTGTTCGCACGTTGAATTTATGACGATTGCGCCCTGCGCTGCAACTGGTATAGCGGTAACAACCGCTATTCTCGTTACACCTATTATGCCGTAACTATTTTTATGGGCGCATCTTTTTATGGATCCAAAAACGCGTGAGTGAGAAAAAAAACGCGATGGGAACGCAAGAGAGATAGAAAATTTCGACTACCTGCTCTCATTGTCTGAAAGTGAAGCAGTTCTCGAGTTCTACCACTTTATTCCGCGTTCTCTGAATGGAGTACCGCAAAGTCTCGCTCTATGGGACTTTATGTGGGACCGCGGAACGACGATTCAGTTTATAAAACCTTTCTCTCTCTAGTTTTTCCTTCCGATTTAGCCGTCGCAACGAATTGTAGCATCCTCGTATTCATCTCTCTTATGTCAAAAAATAAAAAAATAATAACAAAATTACCATGCCATATTAACTTGAGGAATCTGTGCAAATCTTTGTTCCTCTTTCATTTCTATACTTTAATCCTCCAAAAATTAAAACTGCTTTTCGCAAAAAATTTGTAATTGTAACTAATAGATACTGAGCCGAAAGTATTCTTTTGTTTGCGTTTTCGACTTTTGTCTAATTAATTTTCTTGGGACATATATATTTTTCTTGTATAAATTATAAATATCTATCTATAAAGTTAATACGCTGATTATATACAACGTTGAATACGAGGTGTGACTGTAAATTGTTCGGCATTCTGTTTTAAAACAGATACGCCGGGCAAGAGTCGATAATCTCGTCTTTGTGTACAGCCTCGGATACCACAAAACTGTTGTCACGCAATTCTTTTTCACAAGACCGGAGAACGGTCAATCTCTCGCTGAGAGTCTCGGTCATCCGTCGTGTTTTTGCTCTTGCTTTCGACCCTCTACTCCACGGCATTTTTGCCGGTAAGTGTACGACAGTTTTCGGCGCCATAAATATGCTGAGCGCATTTGCAAGGGTGGGAGCCTCTCTTTGTTTGCTCCCGCTGGCGAAGTTTGCAGTGCGGGACCGGAGTGGGTGCCAAGAGGAAGGGAGAGAAGAGGTGGTAGAGTGAGGAGGGAAGAGAGGAGCATTGGGAGACGAAAGTGGGTCGTGAGGACGCTGGAAGGGGGAAAGGGACAAGAAGGGAGAACCAAAGTGAATCCAGCGAGGAAGGGGCCACAGAGTTGAGTGGGGCCATAGATTCTTCTTCTAACGTAACTTTCGGCCAAAATAGGCGGTCCTTGGAATCTAATTATCGGTACGCCCGCTGGAAACTCTTCGGATTATTTATGCCTCTTCTTTGTTCGGCCACGGCACAGTCCCGCTCGACGGCATAGGGAACAGGGCGGCACGGGAAGAAAGATAAAAAGACACCGCTCGCGGAATACGACGAGTACATCGCTATCATAAGAAATACTAGACAGGACGCATCTCCCTTCGATCGATAGATGATGTAATCGAATGTCGCGAGATTCTCTCTTTGTCCGTCAGTTTCGCGCGAATGCCGCTGACATAAGATGTAACCAATGCACGTATAGCGCATCAAAAATAGCGGTGCAATGTGATAATACGATTTGCAATTTTAAGGGATACAAATTTGGCGATCACGAAAACCGAAATCTACCACGCGGTCTTTGATGCAAAATAATTTACGGCTTTTCGAAAGCGCACACGTGTACAGTTGCACGCGTGAGTGCAATTATACCCGCGGCGACGAGACAAAGGCTCGCTCGGTTCGCCGAGCATCGTGCACAGAAGGTACAGCGAAACGTGACGCGTTAATAAAATAGCGGCCTTTAAATGAATTTAAATTAGGTGGGTTGCGTTGTGTGTACAGTGTGTACACAAAAGTATGTATACTACAGACACGATGCTTGTATGTGTAGTTACTCACAAGAGAGAGGCAACTACGATTTTTCCTTCGACGTTGTATGACAAATGTGATGGCGCTATAATCAAAAGTACACATATCACTTCCGTAATTATTTTACTATTAATATTATGAGTTTTATGAATATTATGGTATTTACTTTACTTTTTTTCTGAATTAATTTTCTACTTTACTATGAGTTAATCCTTGGATGTAAATTGGTACATATCTGGTACATAATGTATCAATTTTATTCAATATGATATTTTCAATTTGCATAATTTCAATATTTTATATATTTTATATAAAATATCATATTGGATAAAATTGATACATTATGTACCAATTGGCATTCACGTTTCGGGTAACACAGTACTACTGCCTTATTAACATTGCTCCACGCGAGTATGTAGTTCAGACAGATGGCGTAATGCAACGGCTTAAATTTCGTGGACGAGATTTCTCGGAGCATTGGTCATCTCTCCCCTCATCTCTGGTATTATAATTCGCGTAATAATTTATACAAAATGTAAGTGTATATTTTATATCTATTTTACAATACGATTTAAATTCTAATTCATTCTTTGGCATTATGGCATCGAATATAATCTTAATCACTGTGCACATTTGTACATATAAATATGTATTTGAATTTGCCTTGTTTCCAATTTATTTTTATGAATTTAATGTTTATTTATATATATAATTTAATTATATTTAGACAAAAAGCACTTTTTAGCATTATTATTGATTGAGCAATATAATTGTTTTTTATAACAGGTCTTCTCTAACCAAGCCAAAATCTGAAATGACGCCAGAGGAACTGGCAAAGAGAGAGGAAGAGGAATTTAACACCGGACCTCTCTCTGTTTTAACACAATCTGTCAAGAATAATACCCAAGTATTGATAAACTGCAGAAATAATAAGAAGCTGTTGGGACGAGTAAAGGCATTTGACAGACATTGTAATATGGTTTTGGAAAATGTAAAGGAAATGTGGACGGAACTTCCACGTACAGGAAAAGGCAAAAAAAAGGTATGTCTAATGATTACAAATGCATTTGTGGAAAAACTAAAATTTCACAAAATTAACTTTATTATCGAACAATACTTTTATAGAAATTTATTTATTCAATAATTAACAGTATATTGGTTGTGCTTAAGACGGTCTTAAATATAAGAACTGACTATGAATACCGGCCATAATGTATCAATTTTATCCAATATGATATTTTCAATTTGCACAATTTCAATATTTAATTTTTTCACGATTTAATATTTTATATATTTTATATAAAATATCATATTGGATAAAATTGATACATTATGTGTACCAATTGCCATCCACGTTT